TCCATCCCCCTGTCTTTGCCTTTGCCTCTGGTTGGTGCTGATCCTGAAAATTTGATGTCCTATTTGACCTTGAGCTGAGCTTCTCATCCGGTACAGGTAGTTCTGCTATAAAGCATGTTTTGTTAACGCAAATTGGCTGTAACGCGATTTGATGAATAGTGGACGCCGTTTGGATAATGCAAACTTTCTGCTGTACAGGTATTGCAACTTCCCTATAGCATGAGGTCACACAAGAATGCAACAATCACGTTATAGGAGAACTACCTGTACCCCTCAATCACAAAGGGAACCCACTTTCTCCTTCATAACCCACCTCAACATATTTGCTGCTGAAATCTTTATTCTCATCTGCAGAGTCAATTGTTCAAATGGCAAGCTAGCCAGTCTTCTATCCTTCATAAATGTCCTGTCTTCCACAATACTCCAATTCTACAATCTTCATAACACCCTATAATCCCCATCTGTGGCCTCCCATTTCATCCTGAAATGCCTCATCCTCACCTCTGGAAACCATGCCTACAGCCATTTGGCCCTAAGCACTAGTACTCCTTCTCTAAATCCCTCAGCATTTCTCATCTTTCAAACTCTGCTTAAAATCAGTCCAATCTGTTATCCAGTCCTTTAGTTTGCACTCCTGACTCTCCTAATACCTCTTTGTTACTTTGTTGATTTGTGTCTGATCATGATTCTGTAGTACCTTGGGATGTTTGCTATGTTTAATGCTGGTATATAATATCTCCCCTCATGGGTAAATCTACAATTAGACAGTACATCTTATAAATAAATTAATCTCCCATTTAAGATCAAGATAAGGAGCAATTTCTTCTCGCAGAAGGTTGCCTTTGGAATTCTTTTCCCCAGAGAGCAGATGAGACTGGCTCATTGACTATTTCAAGGCTAAGTTAGGTATATTTTTGCTCATCAAGGGAGTTGGCGTGTGGGAAAGTGCTTTTAAAGCCACAATCAAATCAGCCATGATCATATTAATGGCGCAGAAGGCCCAAGGAGTCAGATTGCATATTCCTGCTCCTATTCTTTATGAAATAAATGCATGTTGTATTTTTATTTATCTGAGTGTTGACCTCTGTGCTCCTCCTGGGGTTTTATGGATTCAAACTCTCTCTCATTGAGGTGTTGCAACACCTTACCTACATGACCTTTGGCAACTATCAACATCATTATCATGTACTTCCAAACGTAACATTCTTCTGCGTCCATTTATTTGGATACTTCCAGATTCTTTGGCTTCAAAAAAGCTTTCTCCAGTGCTGGGCTGATGGCTGCTCTGAGAAGAAAGGTTTGAAATGGGAGTCATTCCAGCAAAAAGGCAAAATGAATTGACTGTGTTGTATTAAATATGAAATAAACTGTTGGGAATTGACAGAAACCAGTACCTGGTAGCCTCTGGCAATGACAAAACAATGGTAGTCATCCACATAAACTACAAATAGTATCAACAATCTGTCTTCCCAAGGGCACCCGGACAATGGAAGAAGCTGCTAGAGAAAATAGTTGCAATTCCATCACTTGAAATCTTCGAGACTTCTGTTTAGATTATTTTCATTTAATCCATTTCATTATCAGGACTACCATTTCAGTGGGTTATGCCTGGTTTAGCTAGTGCTACTCATAAATATTGGCCCATTACAGATTTTCATCTGACTCTGACGCTGACACAACCAAAGCAGAAGAAGAAGCAGTACAGATGTTAGACGTTCTTATAGGTACAAAATAGTCACAATGTGCTTGGCACTTCTGACTGATAACCTGAAGGAGATGAACTGAGACTTTTGACAGGGAGGAATATTGAGGGTTATAGAACTAAAGTGGATAGTTGTAGTTAAGATACAGATCTGTTTTGAGCGATGAGATAGACTTGAGAGGGCCTGTTTCCCTACCAACCTGAAAAATTCTCTAACCTCAACTTGGGTTTGCTGAACAATTAGGCTCTGAGAGTTGGTAAAGGAGTGGAGTTTCGCACTTGTAGAATAAAACATTGTGTTTTACACAGTGCGTGCTTCTGTACTTTTAAAACCATGTTATCTGATTTACTCTGAATAACACAACAGGAAATATTCTAGTGTTTTAATTGAGTGTCGCAAGAATTTGCCTCTTGCCAGTCTGTGATTGTAGAGTATGGCCCCGTGAGCGCAATGTGTTGGTATCCCAATGTGCTGAATCATAAAAGTGGCAGGAAATGGGTTTCTCTGCTGTGGTTAATTCCCTTTGCTGTGAGAAACACCTACTGTCCTCTGACCAAAGTTGCTAATGTTTGTCCTGGGATCCCGAAGAGAAAAACCCAACTTTTAAGTTGTCCATTTATTGTTTTGGAAGAGGGTGAATGAACAAGGGAAGCCACATAAAGGGATTGCTGACAAAATGTCTGTGAACAGAGTAGCACACTACCATAGTAACAAAACTTGTGCTATGTCAGAGGTAGTAAAAACTGCAGATGCTGGAGTGAGAGATAACAGTGTGGAGCTGGAGAAACACAGCAGGCCAGGCAGCGTCAGAGGAGCAGGTCTTCTGTAGTAAACTCATTTATCTACACTGCTGTCCTATGTTTTTATATACTGAGCGGTACACCCAATCTGTCACACTCGTAGAGATCTGCAGCACAGATAAAGACCCTTTGGCCTATCTAGTGTATGCCAATCAAAAACAAGCACCTAACTGTTCTAATTATATTTCCCCAACACTTGGCTCATAGCCCTGAATGCCTTGGCATCACACCTGCACATCTTGTCCTGTTACATACTATCCAGAGCCTCAGCTCTTGTTATAGATGTGTTTATTTACTGTATGATATTCTTGCTGCCCTATGGACCCATGCTAAGTAGTATTTAATTCCTCTGCTCTGCTTTCATCATCAGTAACTTTGAAACAAGGATGATGTCTGCCCAGCCTTCATGATTTGTATGTCCTCCGCAGATCAATCCTGGAGCCGCATGTATTTGGACAGAGTAGGCAAGAGTTCCTTTGAAGAAGGTGGATGGGAGTTGCTGATACTTTAGATTTGAGTTCTGGTGTCTCTCATTTTGGATCTTTGCAATGAGTTGATGTAGTTGGTCTTGAACTGTGTTGTGGCTGAGATGCTGCCACTTGGTGTTGGACTGGGGTGGATAAAGTCAAAAATCACAGGACACCAGGTTATAGTCCAACAGGTTTATTTGAAATCACAAGCTTTTGGAGGGCAGCCCCTTCATCAGGTGCAGTAAGAGGAAAGCACACAGACATAGTTTATAGGCAGAGAGATCAAAGGATCATATGACTGGTGTGAGTGGAGTGAACAAACCTAGAATGGCTGGCTGCCTCCTGTTGAATCTTTAATCATTCATACATTCCTGCGTTCTAGAAATTGCAGCACCGGGATTTGGAGAACGCTATTATTTTCAATTGATTTAAGATGCAAGTTCCAGAATCTCTTTCAAGTCCCTGCCCCAGAATAATTAAAGGTTTCATCAGTATCTGTCTAACTTTCTAACCTTCAAACAGGCAGAGTGATAAGAATATACAATAGGTGACATCTCGGGTCAGACAGTGAATTGCAGGTGTGAGGCCTTGTCCAGAGTCTGTTTCAGAGTTTTAACCTGGAATCAGGCTGGTTTTGTTCCAAAAGCAGGAATTTATAAAATGCCACACTGACTGACTGACTGACTGTGATTATAAATTGTGCATTTCTTGAAAAAAATAGAATGTATCTGCAAATAAACAAACATGGATGAAAGGATTCACCCTATGGGTTTATATGTGTGCAAGTGTGATAATCCAAAACTGTATTGACTAAGGTAGAGCTTATCATAACAATTTATCAAGGTGATGTTGACGAAACAGGACAGTAAGGAAGATGTTACGGATACAGAACAGAGTGGTGGGGTCACGTAGCACGACATGAACCCAAGGTCACGTAGCACGACATGAACCCAAGGTCACGGTTGAGGCCATGTTCATTGGTATGGAACTTGGCTATCAGTCTCTGCTCAGTGATCCTGTGTTGTGTGTATCTCAAAGTCTGCCTTGAAGGACCTTTTAACTGAACATCGGAGGCTGAATGCCCTTGACTGCTGAACTGTTCCCCGACTTGGAGGAACACTCCTGTCTGGCGATTTGTTGTATGGTGTCCATTCATGCACACACTCCTAAACCTGTGGGGTGAATCATTTCATCCAAGATGTTTGTTTATTTGCAGATACATTCTATTTTGTTCAAGAAATGCACAATTTGTAGTCAGTCAGTCAGTGTAACATTTTATAAATTCCTGCTTTCGGAATAAACTCAGCCTGATTCCAAGTTAAAACTCTGAAACCGACTCTGAACAAGGCCTCACACCTGCAATTCACTGTCTGACCTGAAATGTCACCTATTGTATATTCTTATTGCTCTGCCTGTTTGAAGTTTGGAAAGTTTGGCAGATACTGATGAAACTTTAATTATCTTGGGACAGTGACTTGAAACAGATTCTGGAATTTGCATCTTAATCAATCGAAACTGAGTTCTCCACATTCTGCTTCTACAATTTCTAGAATGCAGAAATGTATGAATGATTAAACATTCAACAAAAGCTGATTATTCAGAAGTGTTCAGACCAGCAGAGCTGATTTCAGATCGTCATGGGTGCTCTCCTATCCACCGGTTTCCAAGATGGAGTTTTTCCATGTATTTCGAGAGCTCGCTGTCTTCAATAGACTTTTGGATGACCAGGACAATGAGCTGTATATGCACACAGCTTCTGAAAGAAAACACCCTTTACCCTCAAACAGGAGCAGGCTTTGAACCAGCATAAGTGGTTGTCAGTGTACTTGAAGTAAATTCGCTCTATATGGGGGCAAGGTCGCCAATGAGAGCTCTTGGTAATCACGAAATACTCTGCACCTGAACTGTGGTGACGGAATAGGAAGGTACAGGTTTTCATTTGAAATTATTGTTGACTCTGTAAGACTGTATCAGTTACAAAGTGGGAGAAAGAATGAAACCACAAGTTTGTCCTCTTAACTCTGCAGAAAGAAAACCGATTCAAAAGGTGGCAAAACGTGGAACGAAGAGCAAACCTGGAACATTGGCAAAAGAGGAACTACCTGAAGATGAAAGTAAGATGAACCTTGTTTTGTTTTGATACAGGAATAGCTGGAAACATGTAGGTTAGTCAGTTCCTGACAGTGAGAGTTATTTTGTACTATTGTTGCACTGTGGCTGCCGCACAAGATCTTTATATCAGAATTGCAATGAGGTAACCAGGTTTTCGGTCACATTTTTACATATGAGCATACATATTAGGATCAAGAGTAGGCCACTTGGCCCACTGTGCATGTTCTACTCTTCATCTGAAACCAGGTGATCTGATTACTCTACTCGATATTCCTGCCTATCTCAATAACCTTTAAACCCCTTGCTTAATTGAGTAACTTCAAAAAAGATTTACAAGGATGTTACTGCGACTGGAAGGTTTGAGTTGAGTTGGATAACCGGACTTTTTTCTTCGGAGCATAATAGGCTGTAGGGTGACCTTCTAGAGGTTTATAAAATTATGAGGACATAGATAAAGTGAATAAAATGAATCTTTTCCCTAAGGTGGGGGAGTCCAAAACTAGAGGGCATAGCTTTAAGTTGAGAGGGGAAAGATTTAAAGGGACGTAAGGGACAGCTTTTTCATGCAGTGGTGGTGCGTGTATGGAACAAACTGCCAGAGGTAGTGGTAGAGATGGGTACAATTACAACATTTAATAGTCATTTGGGCAGCTACATAGATAGGAAATGTTTAGAGGAATATGGGCCAAATGCAGACCAATGAGATTGTTTCAGTCTAGGAAACCTAGTTGGAATGGGCAAGTTGAGCCACAAGTCCTGCTTCTGTGCTGTATGACTGTTTCACTCTACTTTTGCCTTAAAATATTCAGACGCTGCTTCCTTTTAAGAGTGTTCAAAAGACTGATGACCCTTCATGAGAAAAAAAAATTCTCCATATGTCTGTCTTAAATGGGCGGACTGTTCTTTTTAAACAGTGATCCCTAGTTCTAGATTCTCCTGCAACAAGAAACATCCTGTCCACATCCACCATGTTTTCCTCCAGACAGTTTGTTTCAAAAATGAACCATTGAATTTCAATTTTACTATGGTTTGAAAATAAACCAAACCTATTGCTGAGTTCATAGACTTTTGGGGTGTCTTCTGAAAAAGTAGATGTATCATGTATCTTTTGTTGTGAAATTTTGTGAAGAACCAATCATGGAGAGGTTAATTCTTAATTTGTAAATGCTCCATATTGTAAGGTAAAAGCAGAGTTCCATGTCGAGGTTGTTACAAGGTAGAATATTGGCTGTAAATTGGCTTGGTTACTACTTGCCTTAGTTCCATAACCGTTTATTTTGCTTTTTACTTCAATGGGATATGGGTTGCTAGCAATGCCAGCAATTGTTGTCCTTTTCTAATTGTCCTTGAACTGAGTAGCTTACGAGGCCATTTCAGAGGGCAGTTAAGAGGCAGCCACATTGCTGTCAGTTTGGAGTTGCATGTAGGCCAGACCAGGTAAGGACAACAGATTTTGCTTCCCTAAGGATATTAGTGAACCAGGTGGATGTTTATAACAACCAGTGATAGTTGTTGTGGACACCATCACTGAGGCTGCCTTTATATTCAAGTTCTGTGGTGGGATTTGAACTCTCATCTTCCTAAGCATCAGCTTAGCTGCCTGCGTCTGTGTTACTAGACATTTCCACCATGCCACCATATTCCCCTTTTTGATTAGCAGTGATATTATCCATCTCAATTTTAAAATATTCAATTGACTCCCCAGCCTCCATTATCTTTTCTAGGGGAGAGAATCTCAGATCTCCATTGCCCTTTGTGTCAAGAAGTGCTTCTTTGCATTGTATCAATATCAGTTGTCTAACTAGACAAAAAGGCTCCTTTCTGTGTTGCAGTTTCTGTTTCTGTGGATACACTGCAGTTTTTAAAAAATTGTGTACAGGCAAAATACTGTCAATGCTGAAAATCAAATAAAACCAAAAGTATTCTGCGGGTCAGGCAGAATCTGTGCAGAGGGAGAACAAAGTTAACATTTGAGGGTGATGTTCTTTCACCAAAACTGGAAACAGGTGAAGGTATAGCAGGTTTTAAGCAAGTAAAGGAGCAGGGAATGCTTTGTATGGTATTTCCATTATTAGGGTTAAGAATATACAGGTGGAGGCATTCATTGATTAAATATCTTGAGCACTTATAAAGAGGGACTGCTGTTACACTAGCTGTTAGTTGAGGAGGAGGTAAACATTTGTAATTCATTTTATTTATTCACGGTAGTGCACATCACCGACTAAGCCAGCATTTATTGCTCATTCCTAATTGCCATTAACAGGTGAGCTACATTCTTGGAACTACGCAGTTCTTGGGGTGTAGGTACACCCACAGTGAAGTGTGAAAAAGTTACAAAGTATTCACCTAGCAACAGAGAAGGAAGATCAGTATTGTTTGAGGGTGGTGTGTGTCTTGGAGGGAGACTTGCACTTGTTACCATTATCCTTCTAGGTGGTAGAGTCCGTGGGTCTGAAAATGCTGTTGAACAAACGTTTGAGAGTTGCTGCAATGCATCCTGTAGGGGTGACACAGTGCTGCCACTGTGTGTTGGTGATGGGGGGAGTGAATGTTGAAGTGATGGATGAGATCCTAATCATGTGGGATTTTTGTCTCAGATGATGCCTGATGTCTTGAGTGTTAAAGCTGCCTCCAACTTTTGACGTTGAGCAAATAAATTTAAAGTAAAAAAATTAGAATCCAGTACCTACCTTGCCTGGATTTTGGCCTGAATTAACAGGGAATTGCTAAGTATGGGGTGGTGGGGGAGGGTCAAGGAAAATAAAAAAGTGAACAGTCTGTGATATATGCAGATGTGATGAGCTGAATGGCCTCTTCCTGTGCTGCAGTTTTATGGTTCTAGGGCAAAAGGAAGGCAAGATCAAATGCCAAAATGGGACAGTGGTTCAAGGCAGAAGGTGGTAAACAAACAAGAATAATAAAATACGTGTCCAGCAGAGCTGTGCATGGCAGTGACGAAACCATTAAGGGCTGATACCCAGAAAAATAGAAATGGTGGTTATGGTCTAAAACTGTTGAACTTGGTGAGTCTATAGAGAGCTTTAAACAAAGATGAGGTGCTGTTCCTTGAGCGTAACATTGATTTTCATCAGAACAATGTAGGAAAATGAGGACCATGATATGGTGGAATTTGGTTTCGTGCATCTTTTCCTCTCACTATACCTGTTTAAAGATTTTCAATCATGATATACGGACATGCAGCAGAAGTTATGAGCTAGAAGTGTCTTCAGAGAGTTGCTGTTTCTGAGAAATCTGTTGGGAGACAAGTAATCCCTTACATTTACTGTATGATGCCTTACAGTCCGCATCTTCCAAACAAACCCATTGCAACAGTGAGGTTATCCAGGCACACAGATAAAGAATGTTATGGGATCAGTTTTAAGTTGATAAGTTACCTGAAAGCAAGCTGTAACCATGATTAAATGAACATTACTTGTACCATGCCAAGAATTCTGGATCAAACATTACCCTAACACTTTTTTTAATATCTTGTGAATGCAACTGGTGTGTTTTTTATTTCTTGGCTGTGACTGTGTATTAGTTTGCTAAATGTGTTGTGATGATCATGGTATTTGGAACCATAGGATGGTTACAGCACAAGGAGGCCATTCAGTCTGTCATGCCTTCAGTGGCTCTCCAAAGAAATAGTTCACCCTGTGCCACTTCCTGGCAATCTCCCCATAACCTTGTACCTTCATCCTGTTTGAATAACAATCCAAATCCCTCTTACATAAACAAAAACAGAAGTTGCTGGAAAAGCTCAGCAGGTCTGGCAGCATCTGTGAAGAAAAAATCCGAGTTAATGTTTTGGGTCCGGTGACCCTTCCTACGAGCTCTTGCATGTCTTGCTTGAATCCGTCTCCGACAGAGACACAGATCCCAGTTTCTCTGTGGGAAAGAACTTCGCCTCATTGCCATTGCTTCTGTTGCCAAGGAGAACAGTCCCAACCTCTCCAATTTATCTATGTAATCAAGTTTCTTATCTCCAGAACTGTTGTCATGAATTTTTACTGGACTATCAGCACAGACAGAAGTTGAGTTCCGATCCACCTGGGCAAATTTTAAAATTAAGCCTACTAAAGTTGGTTATTGATTGGGGCCAAACGGAAAAGTAACAATGTAAGTACCAGATCGTTATGAAAATTCAACCATAGAGTCATACAGCCCAGAAACAGACCCTTCGGTTCAACCAGTCCATGCCGAACATAATCCCAAACTAAACTAGTTCCGCCTACCTGCTCCTGGCCCATATCCCTCCAAACCTTTCTTAATTCATATACTTATACTTATCCAAATGTCTTTTCAATGTTGTAATTGTACCCATATCTACCACTTCCTCAGGAAGTTCATTCCGCACACAAACCACACTTTGTGTAAACAATTTGCCCCTTGTGTCTTTTTTAAACCTGTCTCCTCTCACCTTAAAAATGTGCCCCCTAGTCTTGAAATCCCCCATTCCAGGGAAAATACCATTCTGTCTATGCCTCTCATTATTTTATAAACTTCCATAAGGTCACCCCTCAACCTCCTTCACTCCAGAGGAAAAATCCCAGCCTATCCAGCCTTTCTTTACAACTTAAACCTTCCATACCTGGCAACATCCTGGTAAATTTCTTCTAAACCCTCTCCAGCTTAATAATAGCCTTTCGATAACTGGGTGACCAGAACTGGATGCAGTATTCCAGAAGAGGCCTTACCAATGTACTTTACAACCTCAACATGACTTCTCAACTCCTATACTTGAAGGACTGAATAATGAAGGTAAGTGTGCCAAATGCCTTTTTAACCACCCTGTCTATATGTAACATGAACTTCAAAGAATTATGTACTTGAACCCCTAGGTCCTTCTGTTCTGCAACACTATCCAAGGCCCTGGCGTTAATTGTATAAGCCCTATGCCTGTTTGTTGTACCAAAACACAATACCTCACATTTACCCAGATTGAACGCCATCTACCATTTTTCAGCCCATTGATCCATTTGATCAAGATCCCTTTGTAATC